ACAACTTCTCCTGGCCTCCGGACTCAGACAAGAAATTTTAAAAAAATCATCGCATGAAGAATAATATATTGATAGAATTGTAATTCCTTACTCTTGGGCTAACCCTAGAAGGGTAGCTATATGGGAGTCATACATGGGCCATATATGGGCCTTAATACACACATACTCCAACATATATATTGCAATATAGCTTCCCATCTGAGATTACATCCAGACAAATATTATTTATATAAGCTGAGAGTTCACGTGAAAGCAAATTATCATATAAAATTTTCATGATATGACATTTGAATATTGCATTGTGTAGCTGATTAAGTCTTAGCAACAAACATTTTAGCTCTCCTGAGATGAAAAAAATACTTATATATTCCTTAAGCTAAGAAGATTCAGTTCAGTTGTAGGGAACTAATTAACCTGAAGAACCTTCAAATCAGATGTGCATAACACTGAAAGAATGGGGATTCTAAAGTACCAAAATGTAAGCTCATCTATATATTAAGCCTAAAAAATTACCAAAAAAACCTGCACCCAAGGAAAACAAACAAGATAATAGCAAAACACACTTTCCACACAATCAAAGGGAGAAGCTTGCACAAGCACTTCCAATAGATGTTCGTCAGGAAGAAGGGCTTCCATTTATAATCCACACAAGCACAAGCAACAACAGCAGGGAAAAGACAAAATATATTTTAGAAGTAATCACACCATATAAATTTGACTCAGTAAGCTTCATAAATGGAGCTCCTAGTTCAAAATATTTCTAGAGGGATGCATATCAAATGGTTTTGGAAGGGCTATGCACGAAGGAATTTGTTCCTAGAGAGTTATATTTATATGGATTTGTGGTAATCCTACCATGAGTTTAGCCAAACGCAACAAAATTACATCAGCCACGAGTGTGAAACGACGATGCTTAGCTACCAAAGGTACATAAGCTCTGCAATCAGAAGCTATTTGGCATGCTTTGTTATAATATATTTATTAATGAGTCGAAAGCAACAGTCTTAACAATCAATTATCACTTACTTTGGCTTTTAGATTCGACATAGCTAACTGGAACTTTTCTATGGTTCTTGAGCCAGCAGCATGATCATCCTTGGCAACCTTGATAAAATCATCATTTAGCCAATTTGTCCGGACAGACACATACCTGCAAGATGGAGAAAATAAAGGGCGTACCCAGTGCAGAGAGCTCCCGCTCTGTGCGGGGTCTAGGGAAGGGTGTCAGTGACAAGCCTTACCCTCGCCTATGCAATGCGAGGAGACTGCGACTCGAACCCGGGACCTTCCGGTCACAGACGGTAATATTCTACCGCTTGCACCAGGCCCGCCCTTTAGCAAGATGGAGAAAATAAAAGAAGAAATTAGCAATACTATACATAAACCATTAAAATAAAGGAGATAAGTCCTACAAGATATTCTCTAGGTAAATAAGACAAATAGTGCAAATTCAATTCAAACGGGAAATTGTTGCCTAGGTAGAAATAGAAATGAAATGACTTAATTTTCATAAGGAGAAAGAGCCAGTAATCTGCTCTGGAAAGTGGAGCTGTTTTCAGAGGTAGAATACAGGTGCAATCTTTCTTTTTTTGAGTGCACTATATGACTATGTTTCATTACTAATGCAGCTAGTTTAGTTGTTCAATTCAAAAGGCAAATTGTTACCTAGGCAGAAATCAAAATAGAGAGCAAAAATGAGGCATTATGTTCAGACAAAGTTTGTACCATGAACCATATTTTTTTCCAAGTCCAGAGTTCCAGAACATTTGGAATGATGAGAAAAGTATATTGATCTGAACACATTTTCCCATATACCAAATTTATCCTTCGCAACAAAAAATCACAAACTTTGTTTTATTTGAGTCATAAAGAAACATTTGTTCAACATAAAACCTTGTGGCCAGATTTATTTCTAACCACAAATTCTCTTTGTTCAAACAAGTAAACAACAAATATTGTTCTGAGTCTTGGATACACACACTGGTCATGTGACCATATGTATTCTTAACCATATAAATTCAATTTTCAAATCACATGGATTCGTGAATTCAATCCACAAATACTTGTGCCCAAATTTATTCTTAACATAGAAGTTCATTTATCAAACCACAAATATAGATTCCATCCCAAGGAGTACTCTGATGACTAGGTAAAAACTGAAGCATCATAAAGAAAAAGGTAAGACTAGGTCAACTACCAAAGAAAGTCATATTTGACCAAAAAATGTATATACTCATATAAATGAAATCATGTACGAGTCATCCTATTTCTGCTAAACTGAAAATCGATGCAAATGCTTAGTTAGCAAGCTTCATATTGCTATAATTTTTTAAATTTTCTTGTACTCAATTTGGATGCGAGTCTTAATATTATTTTTACTTTTCTATGTACATGCAAATTGAAAGAAGTGAACAACAAGGGAGAAAATATTTTCTATTTTATGCTGCGGGAGATATTATTATATATCCATGGCTCTGAGATGTTTACTTATTTAAGAAAGATTAGTGAACTGGATTACAGATTAAAGAGCAAATAACTATTGTATCTACGGTTCTTTATTCTAAAAATAGAAAGCTCGAGAAAAGAAAATGAGGATAGGAAGAAGATAACAATATGAATAGCAGACTAGCAGCTTGTTAAAGTAAACAAGCAAAAGAAGATTAGAGAACTGGACAGGTGAACAGGTCTCACAAATGTTGACTAATAAAAATAAAAAACAAGTAAGATGCATAACTGAACTGGTCAGAAAAATATAAAGCAAAAAAGGTCCCTTGCACTAATCTGTAAATGATAGACACAAATAAGCTACATCTAGTAAGCTAAACAAAGGTCCCTTGCAGTAATCTATAAATGATATACACAAATAAGCTATATCTTGTAAGCTAAACAACCTCCAGGCTCATTTCGTGCAGCAAGGAAAAAGAAAGAAAATTACCCAGGGGAGCCGATCATAGATCGATTTTAATGACAGATGAGATCATGCCCTGTTGCTGCAGCAGTGCTGTACTACTGTTTTGCACGAGAACAATGTAGAGAACGAAATTAAATACAAAAGTTTCTATGTGCATATATACTTCAAAAACACATGACCTGAAAGTACCTCAACTTGCATCTTCGTGCAAATAGATTCCAGATCCATGAGCAAAAAGATCAGGATCAGACAATCTACTTTAGGGTCTTGGATCTACACACAACAGGGGAAAGTCATATTGCCAATCAATCATTAATCCACATCCCCAACAGTAAAAGAGACCAAAATTGGGGTATCGAATGTGAGTCGGGAGATGGGTACCATACCAGGGAACGGTTCGGGTGAGCGATTCTCCTCGTACGGTCGTCGCGTTGCGCGCCTGAAGAAGAGGATGCCGATGGCATCGCGACAGGAAAGAGGGCAGCGCCTCTGAGGCTGCGGATAAGGTGAGGCCGCCGCAGCCGTTGTCGAGTCACGCAAAGGGGCTCTGGAGGGACCGATGCCGCCAGTTGTAAACGGGTAATGCAGGTATGGCGAGGACGCCGCCGCCGCCGCCGCCGCCTCCGAATCCCTCAGGCAAGGTAGCCGCCGACAAGGCGCGGCCGCCGCCGCGGATTCACTTAGCATAGGGATTGGGAAGAAGGTGAAGAGGTGGAGACGAGCAGACGAACTGCTGCCAGCTCGAGGCAACGTGATGGGTAGCAGCAGCGGGCCCAAGTGCAGCAAGCTCGCCAGTGCCGAACCAGGGAGCAGGGGCGGCGGCGAGCTAAGGCCGTGCGGCGGGGGCGGGGATGGCGGGGAGCTGGGCTCGAATGGCAGGGCAGCGGCGACCTGGGTTCGTGCGACGATAGCGGATAGAAAAAACCGGCATCTCCCACGATCTATGAATATCGGAACCGAAAAAAGAATATAAACATTAAAAACAGGAGGTGGGTGCGGGAGACGGTAGACGGGGCGAGCGCGCGCCGATCGGCCGATGGATTGGCTCGGGTAGCGGTGCCGCCGGTGGGTTGGGTTGGTTCGGGTACTGATTATATTATATATATATATGTGTGTCACTATAAGATACAGATAAATAAAGAAATATAAGAAAGGGATGGATCTGATCGGATAATGAAAGAAACAAAGGAAAACGAGTGACGTAGAGACAAAGGTCTCTCAGATCTCAACCCCCAACCTGTCCTGCCCTGCTAGTGTTTGCCAACACATCGCGCAGCATGTGTGCACAGTGCACATTCATGTCTCCCCCTCGCTCGTATATGCCCTTTCACCGAATGCATTGAAGCCTGGTTCGGATATTGTCGGAATCACCTTAATCCATGTGTGTCGAAGTGGATTTTAGATGAAATTTAGTTCAAGTTTTACTCCTATACACCCCAATCCATGTGGATTGATACGAATCCAATTACATCCAAACAAGTTTTAAATCGGAGAAAAAGATTTCTAAACCAAGGTTCATGTATACTACTAAGGCCTCGTTTGATGCCGCTAGCAACAGATCCGGCCACAAAATAATGCATTTCTTACTTTTCGAGTAATCATATGATTTAAAGTTGAGAAAATTTAGAATGGTTGGGAAAAACAGAGGCCGTCCGTTGGGTGAAATTGAACGGTGGAAAAATAAAAGGTACCTAACTGAAAGTACTCGGAGATACCAAATAAGTGGGGGATAACACCGAATTAGTTGGGGGCTAGTATGGAGCAAGATCTATTTTTTATTTTTGTATTTTATTTTCGAATAAGTGTAAATCAGTCGTCAATTCGGCAAGGGCGATGAACTTGTCCAGAGGAAGGCACGGGTCCTTGGCGATCTCAGAGAGATAATTAAACATCCACCAGCTTTGTGACAGCCGCCAGCTTCGAAGGAAGTGATCACGCTACATCCATGTTGTCATCATCTTCCTGCAGCTTTGCATCACTTCCATTCATTTTGTGCTCAGCATGAACTCCTCCAGTATGGCAGTATCGCAGCCACCATGTCAACATTATACATCGCGTCCTCGCCGGATTCAGCAGGCATCAGAAGGTCCTAGACCGAAGCTCGATCCAGCAGCACGCCGATCCTCTTAATCAACTCGCCGCAGTAGCGAAAAACATGGGCCATCCATTCAGTGAACGCCCCGTCGCATGAGACGACCTCCTTGATCGCCAGCACGGCGTTCAGCCTTCCCGCCAAGGTGCCGTTCTCAGCAGTGGTGACCAGAGACCCCAGCGAGCTCGGCAAGCCCAACGTCCTGGTGGCCTCCTCGTCCAACGGCGTCATGCAGACCAATGCCGCCAGGATGTCCTCAAGGACGCGCCCCGCCGGTGCGGCATCAGCACCAGCAGCAACAGCGAGCGACTCGAACGCGGTGGCGAGCACGCGGCCCGTGCCGATGGACGCGAAGCAGCGCATGTTCCGTCCGCTATCCCTGGTGAGGGCCTTTATCTTGGTGACCACCTCGGCGCACTGCAAGGCGGCGTCTCGCCGGCGCGCGGACCCGGCGAGGTCGAAGAGGAGCTCGGAGGCCTGAACGGGTGTGACAGGGATCTTGGGCGGTTACGAAAATACCCTCAGTATTACAAATTATATTTAATAAATAATGTTTTTCAATTAGTTAGCTAAAAAATAGGAAAAATAAAAATAGACAGAGGTACCTGTCGATGTTTCACCTCCGATAGCCTGCCGTGGGGGTACCCGGGGCAGTTTGTTTGGGCTTCAGCGTATGCAGAACTCGACGGTTAACGCAAGAGACAGTCGATTTATTCTGATTCGGGTCCTCGACCGTGATCGAGTAATAGCCCTACTCCAGTCAGCGTTAGCCTTTGCGTTGGATTGATTGTCTGAAAAGTCCCCCTCGTCTCCAGGAACCCCACCCTCCTTTATATAGTCAGAAGGCCAGAGTTCTAGTCGGTTTACAATGAAAGTTCCTAGTAGAATTACAGAATAATACTACTACTAGGATTACATAGGAAGAATCCTAGTTAAACTAGATCTTCTCCCTTCCTTGCAGGGTATCCTATGGGTCCCACATCGACAAGCCCTTGAGTACTTCATGGTTGAGCTCTGGAAGCCTCGTCTTGTTCCTTCAGGTCTTGCCGAGTAGGAACAAGCGTCGTCCGAGAGCTTTCTTGAGTAAAACCGTGTAGCGCTTCTTGAGATCTTCGAGTCGTTTGTGCTTTTTTGAAGAAAAAGTATACCCATCTGGGTGTAGCCCTCGAGCCTCTTGCTTTTTGGAACAAGGAGCTGGAGGGTCTTGTCTTGAAATTGCTCTGATTCTTCGTCGAATGGCTCTCGAGCATATACCCAGGTTCTTTATAAACAAGAACTCGGATATATTTCAGTCCGGGTTCTTTTTGTCGTGGGGTCTTGAAGTGGTCTGTCTTGAGGAAGTTTTCTTGGTGACGTGCGCTTTTTTGAAGAAAAAAGTGCACTTACTGAGTGTAGCCCCCGAGCCTATTGCTATTTAGAACAAAAAGTTAGAGGGTCTTGAATCTTATGTTGTTTGAAAACTGTTGTCTTGAAGAAGTCTTCTAAGTGACGTGCGCTTTTTTTAAGAAAAATTTGCACTCACTGAGTGTAGCCCCTGAGCCTCTTGCTATTTGGAACAAAGAGTTGGAGGGTCTTGAATTTGAGTTGTTCAAAGAACTGAAAATCTCTCCTGCTGCAGCCCCCGAGCATATACCTGTGTTCTTTTATTAAAAAAGAACTCGAATACAGGATCTTAGAATGTTCTCTGGTAGTATACTGTTGTCAGATGTAGTTGTATGGTGGTGGTTGAGAGTAAATATTGTTTGTTCACGAGTTGTACAGTGTTGGTATATTCTTCCGAATATGCTCGTTCTTGAGTACTGTTCCTTTACGCCTGAGTCCTCTTTCATTGAATTCTGTCTTTTCACTGTGTCCTTTGTTACGTTTATTCCGTTTGTGCTTCCGGTCCATGTGTACCGCTTCTTTGGTCTATAAATACCCTCCTGGTGTGCTGTTTTGATTCATCGAGCATTTTGTTGCGTGGTCTGAAATCTCCGTAGTCATAAATATGATAGTTTGTGAAGTAGAGTAGCCCCCGGGCGTATTTTGTAGTTGTTGTATATCTTGTCGTAGCTGGAGGGAGTCTTGTGATAAGGATTAGGGGTAGACTAATCCCGCAGCAGCATTGTACCGGGAAGTACGTGGCGGTAGTTGGAGGAAGTCTTGTGATGTGGGATACGTTCCTTCATCCAGCAGTTCTGGGTTGATCCTCGTCGCCTACCCTGAGACTATCCGGTGCAGATCAACACCATATCCAGCATCACATCGAACTTGGGTAGACAGATGTCTGCCGGCCTCCCCCGGTCCATGTTGTCCCGCTGTGCTGCTGATTTCCGCCTTGGATGTACTGCGTTCGTCCTTTGAAGAAAACAGTGTAGCCGAGTGCGGTTTATTCTACTGAGTAGCAATTTGGAACACGTAGTCATTCCAGAGCCTAGTTGTGTCTGGGTTACTCTTTGCTACCTTGCTTGTTGTAGTACCGAGTTTGTTGGGTCTTGTAAGATGTGTAATCTTGTATTTTTTGAAGCCATTTATAATGGAAAGAATATTATCTTCTGAGTTATTATTTTTTTCTGCTGAAGTCCTGGTTGTTTATGAGATTCCCGAGTTCTTTCTATAAGAACCGGGTTCTTGTGTTCCTTGTGAGGTAACCCCTCGTTGCTTCATGGTTGATGAGTTCTTTTTGTAGCAATATGATAACTCTGTCGTTGTGCTGGATGGATAAGTCTGAAATCTGCCCGTTGAACTGCACCGTTGTGTAGAAGTGTGCCATCCGTCATTTCAGCTATGTCAGTTGTTGTGAGAAATGAATCGTTGCGTTCTCATGCCGTGTTTAAACGGGCCTGACGGGCCGCATTTTTATTGCTGTAAAATCTATTTAAAGGCCTTTCTTCTTCTTTTTCTTTGCTGCCCTGCTTTTGCCTTGAAAACTCTAGCCTTCAAAACTCCGCCGCCGTCATTGTCACCGTCATCTGAGCGCCGCCGTCTGAGCCTCATCGTTTCTTAGTGCTTTATTGCTTTCGCTAGTATATGGGTAGGAAGAAATCAGCGAGCAAGTCCCAGGTAACCTTTATAGACGAGGAGGCATCGCTTTCTGTGATTGAAAATCAAGAATTAATGGCCATGAGGGCTGCTCAGAAGATCTGGCCGGCTCCGACTACGACTGAGGATCAGTTGCGCGAGCTTGTCAGTGATGGTCTAATCCAGGGCAAGGAGTTTGCTGATTGGAAAGCTCCAGGCCAGCATCGGGTCCCAACTCCAGGTCCTGATGAGATTGTTTTTTTTTGTCTCCTTTATCTGTGCTAGACTCTACCTTCCTGCTTCTGCTTTTCTTCATCGATTTCTCAGTTATTTTGGGATTAGCTTGAACCATCTTGCTCCCAATGCTGTCCTTCATCTTTCTGTTTTTGTTCATCTTTATGAAACTTTTCTTGGAATTCCTCATTCTTTTTCTCTCTTTCGTTACTTCTTCCATCTGAAGCCACAACCCCGCCGCGATGACACCCATGTTCTTGGTGGTTGCGGGATTCAGTTTCGTCAGGGTCTTAAGAGTAAATTCTTTGATTATGACTTGGTTGATTCTGTGAGGGATTGGCGTGCTGACTGGTTTTATGCCGCCGATTTGATTCCTCCTCTTGCTGTTTATTCTTGTTCTGGTCCCGTGGTTAATGACCGATGGGAAAAGAATCCCCTGACGATGGATGAGCTCCAGGCGATCAAGCCGTTTCTTGAGAGGATATGTACTCTGAAACAACAGGGCTTGACCGGCTTCGGTATCGTTTCCAGTTTTCTTCGCCGCCGTGTTCAGCCTCTGAAGGAGCGAGAGAATTATGGTTTTAAGTACTCTGGGGAGGAGGATCCTTCTCGTATGGTCCCTGTCCTTGAGTTGACTGATGAGGAGGTGCTCGAGCGACTTTCGAAGATGTTGAAAGGAGTAAGCGTCGTTCCGCATGCTGTCCTTGAGTATTGTGCTAACAACCCGCCTCCTACTGTGAGTTATTTTTCCTTATGCGGGTACTTTTTGTATTTCCTTTGCTGTCTCTACTTTTTGCTTAATCTTTCTTGTCTGGTTGTTTTACTCTTTTATAGGAATTGGGGCGTAACTTCGTTGATCCGATCCCCCTTGATGACTGCCCTGCCATTGTGGAGACTGGGGAGAGTCTTGTTGGGGCATCTTTAACCAGTAAGTTTCAAACCACCACGATGTTTCTTGGTGTTTCTTCCATAGTTTTTGACGTATATGTAAAGTATGTTCCTCATCCAGTTCCTCGAGCTCCTCGTAGTGTCGGAAAAAGGGGGCGAGCGGATTGTTCTTTTTCTAGTTTGTCTGCTACCAGGAAGCCTTGCCAGTCGAGTACTCGTCTAGGTACTCAAGTTTTAGGTAGCATGCTCCTAGGTGAGCATATTAATACGCTTTGTCTTCTTGTTGTTTGGTTGTCCCTTTAACCGAGTACTTTCCTCCTTTTTCAGATGGTGCTGTGGTTGCCATGTTTGAGAATGAGAAAGATGAGGATGATGATGCGGCCCTTGTCATGCGTCGGTGAGTTGTTTTCTTATTTTTCTGTTGTTGAACACCTCTTTTTGTTCTAACTTTGGACTTGTTCTCTTGTAGTAAGCGGTCATCGAGCTTGAGTTCTTCTGGGGCTCCGGTATCGACCACGCCACTCCTGTCGCAGGGTGGTGGTGATATTTTTGCTGCTATAGTTCCCCCTCTAAGATCTTCTGTTCGTCTTGGGGATTTTATGAATAAGAAGATAGCTAAGTGAGTGAATCCTGGTTATGTTTCTTTGCTTCTGTTTTTCCTTTTTTCTAATTCATATTCTTATCGTCAAGTTTCCTTATCATCTTGTAGACCCTCGCCTTCCCTTAACCCTCAGTCGACCTCTTGTCAGTCCTCTGGTGTGCCCCTATGTGCTGAGTCTCGAGACTCAGAATGTACGGTCAGCGAGGTGGCTGTGAGGGAGACAGGGTTCCCTGGTGATGACGTTGCTGCTGATTTGCTGGCTCCAAGGGTGACCGTGGCCGCAGCGGTGGGTCCATCTGAGGAACAGGCTCTCCATGCCCGGGTGGTTGAGGCAGAAGAGTGGAGGGATGCTACTGTCCAGGAGGCCATGAAGAATGTGGAGGCCATGAAGAAAGAGTGCAATGGTATTGCGGGTTCTTTTTTGTTTCTTTTTGTATTTAAATTTCCCTTTCTGCTGACTTATTTTTTGGTGCCTGGTCTAGCTCTTCGAGTTGAAAAGCAAAAGCTCTCGGAGGGTGTTGAGGAAATGAAGATCCTTGTTCGCAATATTCACAACAGGGCTGAGGAGGTAATTACTCGTGCTGAAGAAGAACTCGCGCTTGCTAAGTTGATTAGGCGTGGAGCTGACAGGGATCTTGTG